TTGTAGGGGTCACGCTGGACCACAAGAACCGGCTCTTAGGAGATCTTCAATAGGAAGCAGCGTTCAAAGTGACGGAATAGGGCTCGGACCAGACGTAGAGCCTTGGCGGCAGTCTCCTAGGATAGAGGAGTGTGCCCTCATACAAGATTCTTTAGATGTCGCTATGAGCAGGCTACTTCGACGGTGATGGTGTGGGTGAAAGCATGTACCATGCATACCTGGCTGGCTGTAGCTTATTTCACTTCTTTCCTATCCACGAATCGTGGATAGTATTGTTCAGTTGTGGGGATGGTGCCGGGCACCCGCCCTCTGGGGTCCTTAGGTTTCCTTTCACTCTATGGCCTTACTGTTACGGCGTGTCAGGGGTGCCCTCTTTCCCAAAGTTTGTACGCCTACGTACTGGGCGATGTCGGTTCGGCGATCGTTTTGTTTCGAGAAAAAGCGAACCTTTATATTCAAGGAGGCAAAACCTCTGGAGAACACTGAAAGGCTACGAGGGGAAGGTGATAACCCTAGAAGCTTGATAATGCTCGCGGAAATTTCTTGGGCAGATCCCGAAGAGCATTGGCCACCGGGAAATAGAGCCGGGGATCTGCAGTTGCCCTCCGAATTGAATAGGAAACTGTTTGTCTACAACTCACGGCATACGTGTGGGAGGTGAGTATCAGAGTTACTTCTCATGTTTATGGGCTGACTAAGAGGTATGCATTAGGAAGCGATCAACGGTCCTTATGGTGACACAGGGTGACAGGCATAAGCCGATCCTTACACTCAACCGTGAGGAGTTTGAAGGGGTTATGGCTGCAAGGGAGGAGGCGGAGAGAGAGATCGTCAATTTTGGTAAGAAGCTCTGATACTGCATGTGCAGAAGATTCCAGTTTCCGTGTGCCCATGCCTGGCTTGTGTACAGCAGTGCATCTCAACTACCGGTACGAATAACATTGTTATCATAACAATAACGCAGCATTGTCGAGGACCCCTCTAGACCGCGATTAGCTGGAAAATTCCCCACCGGTCTCGTTTGGGTGTCTACAGAGGCTTTTTGCCGTTATATAGTGCAAGAGTGGCCCTGCTAGTATTCTCACGCTCGACATCGGAGGTAGGAGTGAAGAAAGTGCCGCTACCTTTGGGCGTGCTAGATAATCACATCTAGGACTGGATGGTCATCATCATACCCCACCTATCCCCGATCGAGTCTCAGCAGATGAGCACTATACTGTGGTATCAACTGTAGGGGACAATATGAGGTAGACTCTGTTGCCCATGGGTGACTCGAAGCCTCGGAGCCGATGGAGAGGTGGGAGGTTTGAAAGTAGCACTTGATAGACATTGGCGAGGTTAGGGAGGGGGGAGACGATACGAATTACTCGGAGCCCACCTCATCATAATTGCATATGAATGACGTGAGAACCCAGGAAAGGAGGGTCTTCTCGCAACGAGAACCGGGGGTAGTTGACGATGCCCTTCCTAGTTCCTAATTTGATGCTCTCTGTGGACTGACGAGATGCTGTGACAATTCAAGTCGGGCAGGAATGTCATTACTCTCAGCTCATTTTTGAGGCTGACCGTTTACATTCCTCGAGGGCCTTCGCCGCAGATCCATAAGGTATCACAGAAGCTGCTCTACAAGGGCGACCAGGAGCACAGCCAGGAGCTCGCGACAAAGAAACTCGGAAGCGACTGCGATAAGCGGAGCTACTCTAGCTAGTGCATCGTACCTCGTGGCCACGACCGTGACCGTAGTAACTTCGGAAGCAAGCGCAGCGCTAGCAATCTCAAGAGAGGCCGATCTTCGGGAGACTTGCGCTCTGTATGCGCTCGGAACGGGAGAAATACAAGATGTGGAAGAAGCACCAATGAGGAAGCGGCGTAGGAGCAGTAGTCTAGGCTCTGAGGTCTCTGCCCAGACAGTGCGATGAAGCAGCACCCAGACCGACGAGAACTCTTGGCGCTCTTTCCGTTGTCGAATTCTGTGGCTCATTGAAGTTTTGTATTGCAACAGTTTCTTATCCTGTGTGCAGCGGTACAGGGATATGTTGCGGAGGGTAAGGAAGTCGGAGATGAGGTTTCGTTTGAATCGCCGCGAAGTCAGTTCACCCTAGGAGTGATGGACGTGGACAGCCGACCAGCATTGCCGACGGTCATGGAGCAGAGCAGCACTGAGGTATGGTTCGTCCCTGCCAATTTTTTTGGCGATTTCCACCAGCGATACCTCTCTGCCCAGCTCTTGAATGATTATATTACGTTCAGAATCGGTTAGGATTTTGCCGCGGCCCATAGTAATGAAGTAGAGGAAGGTTGCTTATCAAACGCGGACGTTGAAAAGTGCGCGAGAATCTTCTGCGCACTATAGATACGAAACGGTCGAGAGATCTATCATAACAGGTATACCAATCGATTTCCCCGGAGCTCCCGAAGTTCAAGTTTAATTGTCATTCGCTCATTGAGTCCCGAGTTCTGTCATTTCTCATGACTTGCCTATCAAACGCAAACGCACTGTAGTCTATCTCGACTGAAGGGATTTCGATTAGGCGCAGTCACCACATTCACAAGGGTCCGATTCATCGCCGTCAGTCGTTTCGCTCGGTGACCCCGAGATCTCCGAAGCGAGTACACCAACAAGTAGATCTGACTCGGGTGGAGAGCACAGTTGGGAGGGCGCGGGGGTCGCAGAAGCTGTCCGGGCCCTCGGAGAGAATTCCGAACATTCGTCAACGAGATCTACCGACGAAGAACTATCGATGCTAGAGGTTGAGCCGCCGTTTGTCGAAGCGACGCAAGAGGGAACTCGCGAGATGGCGGGGATGGGAGATGAAATGCAGGATCGTGAGTTGGACAGTGCAGGGGCTCTGCCAGGAGAGGACGAGATCGAATAACATCATGAAGTATCGCACGAAAACCCTCGTCTGGAGATGAGCTCAAATCGGGTGGAAAAGGCGGTGGAGAGGGATGAGCCTCATCCCTCCTCATCCGATGAGGAGGTCAAGACGGCTACAGCTGACTCATTCGTAGACTATGGTGCTGCTGAAGAGAACAGTCTGTTCGAGGCCCTCTCTGAGTCATTGTAGTTCGCCTCGCCGGATGATGATGAGGTGGAGAGGACCCCAAAGAGCTCAAGATCGGAGACTCCAAGCTGGGGTGGAGGATCTGTAGACGAGTGGCTGCCTTCAAGCGTGTTACTGTTCCTAGATGACGATGCCTTCTCTACATGTAGAGCATCACCTTTGGCCTTTATAGAACATTCGGCCAAAAATTGATCGATGCCATGACCCTTCAG